ATTTTATAAATATATATATATATATATATATATATATATATATATATATATATGGGGGGGTGACTGTGTGTGTGTGTGTATATATATATATGTAATTATGTGCAAGTACTTACAGAAAAAAGTAGTTTCTCCATCATATCTACATGGTCCCCCAATGTTTCTGTGCCACAACGGGGATGAGTGTGACAAAGACAACTCTAACCGATAATATAAACCTACAGAACACTTGTACTTCACTTCAAGCTATATTTTCAAGTTCACAAGATCTGAGACATGGGGGTGCAAGAGCAAGGCGCATGTTTCTCTAAGTGTCTCAGTGTTCACTGTTACATAACCAGCACCACAACCACGCAGGGCCCTGGAGACACAGCACAGTTCTGGATTCGCCACTGACTAAAAACTTGTCTTCAAGCAAATCACTCAGCTAGTTGCTCTGTACCTGTTTCCCCACCTGAAGAAAAATGTGTATGTGTGCACACATGTGTGTGGCAGAGGAGACTACTGGATAATTCCAAAACTGTATGATTCTTAACTTCAAAATACTACAACCTTTGTATCGCTGTTTCAAAAAACCTCATTGATCATTTGGAAAGCAGCAAACACACTCAAGCTGCTCGAATGTTCTCTATCCAGGATCTCAATAAACAAACAAAAAACATTACACACCCAAAAAAACCCCAGCTTAGCTGAATTTCTAGAGGCTGAAAAAAAGTACATCAAAGGTGTCGACTAATGTCAAGCCAAAAGCATAGTGTTCATGCTGTTAAAATAATAAAATGAAAATATTTTCAAGACTTCAGCCCTCATTTTTATTTTTTTAATGGCACATGGATATGAAATTCCCCATTACCTACTTTACCATGGTTTTGTCCATCTGAGCCAGCTAGTAATGTCAACCTGACGAAGACCTGCAATGGGGCCAAGGCCTGGACACTAACATTCTGAACTATTTTGTGGTCCAGCTTTCAGGCAATTGGGAAACACAGCTCCTGGAGATTCAAACTTCACACTCTAGTGGCAGTTAGGAGCATGAGGTAGGAGTATAGGATATCCACGGCCATTTCAACTATTCTTCCTATTAGCTATAAACTGTCAAGGTTTCTATTTTAGACTATGCTCACCTACTTCTGTAATCCACAGTTGCTCCTACACAAAAGTCAGTCTCAAAGAGATGACATATTACCATGAATTATCTCACATGGTATGTAAGTGCCAAAAAAGGTAGGCACTGACTTTTATTTTTCTGTTTCCACATTTGTCAATAGACAATCTATGTCCACCCCTTTTCACGACTCCCTCTGGACTGGGCAGTGACTAAAGGAAAAGTAGGCCAAATATATTTAATATTTCACACCAAACAAGTTATTTGCTTAAGATGGCTTGGCCAGCCTCGTGCCTGGCACTCACACCCAGCCTGACAGTCCCAGTAGGAATTAAACACATTTTAATGGGTGCTGTGCTCCAATGCCCACTAATGCATTGAGGGTTACTGGCCAACTTCATCACACGAAGGCAAGAGTAAGTATGTGTGTGTGAAGTGTGTGTGCCCACGTGTATGTATGGAGGGATTACAGGGGGCAGCCGGCCACAGCTGCGTAATTTTTGTAAAGCATTTTTTCCTGAACAGGGAGGAGGGCTGCGGTTACTTACCGTCCTCGCATGCGGCTACCGCCAGCGAGCTGTTTATCCTCACAAAGGAGATGCACGGCTGCGCTCCAGGCTCGTCCTCCGAGTCCTCCGAGTCCAGGAAGGGGGCTATGTGGTCCCAGGTGCGAGTGTCCCACACCCTCACATCCCCTGATGTGTATCTGGAAAAGAAGGACCTGGTTGGTTCCGAGTGGAGACTGAAGAGCAGGGCCACAGTGGAGAAAATGGGGAGAGCATTAAAACAAGCGAGGAGGAAGGTGAATCGGCACAGTCACTCCTACAACACTGCTGAGATGAGGAACTCCAACAGGAGGAAATGTCAGCTGGGCAACAGAAAGGCCAAGGATACCTGTCATGTTCTCAAAGCACAACGGTGACCATTTCAAGAGAACACTATAGTATAAAAAAGTGGTATCAACAGCTTCTTATTTTACCTTTTACACTATTATAACCCATCTGCTACCTTAAGTTCTCCCAATAAAAAGATCACTAGCAGCAATTTGTAGAAGCCACAGTATCTACACACACACACACACACACACACACAAACACACGAGAAAGACAGGCGGAGAGAGAGAAACTAAGGACTAATGGTCTTACAGACACACGCTTTCTAATACCTCATCCATGCATCAGATTTGACTGATTAAAGTCCCTGAAGACTAATTGATTTGCTGAAACAATTAAATCTTGCCTTTAGCAGCCAGACAATGCTGCCTTCTCCTGAAAAGCTCCTGCCGAAAGGCATGACACTCCCAGTTTTGCCCACTTAGAAAATAGGAACCCTCACTCTGCTATTACTACTGCCACTCCAACAAATGACACTCTCCATCAAAGCCGATGCAGGGCCAGAAGCTGCTCAGACACGAGGCCGCTAGGAATGGACTGGCCAGATGACGAGGTGGTATGCTGCCTGCCACTGGGCATTTACGCCAAGTTCCTTACATCTGCTACAGAGGCTTCAATTCAACATGTGCAGCGACTGTGGGAGGCATGTTAGAAACGCTTTAAGAGTCTCATGATATACCCACACAAACACAAAAGACAAGCAGACAATGTAAGGGGGCTTGCAGTCCTCCAAGCCACTGTTCTTTCAGGGTTTCTCTGACCCCATGTTAAAAGTGTAGAGTGGAACAAGATAACCTCTGAGATTTATTCAATTACTGCAATCTACGGCATGATTCATTATGAAGTAGTTACAGATCAATATCTCATGTGAGATTTCTTAATGAAGAAACTAAAGATACTCTGGTTCAGGAGTGCTTCATTTACTAAATGTAGTATGTAGCCTTTCTCTCCAATTATTAATTGACAGCAGATATATCTACAGTGTAATTCAAAGGTCCCTCTGTCACAAATTCTTGAGGTTGGAGAGGTTGGTTCTCTCCCTGCAGACAGCATCTGGATAGTGTGCATGTAAGGGGCCAAATAAAAGACATGTGCTTTCTAAAACTGGACTGATGGATCTGTTTGACCACCGATCTGCAGTAAACAGAAACGCCTTCCCCACGAGTGCCTGGTGACACTTATGTGAAGGCAGATGTTGATATCACTGCGGCCATAGCCCGGCTGCTGGCTCCCAGACCCTCCAGGTGGTGTTCCAGATCATCCATCTTAACGGGGAACCCTGACAAGAACACACCGCCCACTGCACCAAAACTTCTGGGCTCACCCAGACTCCCTAAAAATGATCCAGGAGACCCTTGGAGTAAGGCTACTTGCTTCGCTAGAGACTGAACAGAGTTAGTGTGTTTGGAATTCTAGACTGTGTGAGAGAAGATGCTTAAGGTTAAATTCTAAGTGAAAGGAACTAGCCAATTCAGAAAAGAATCGTGAGAAGGATGGCAGCATCTGTCAGAAACCCAGAGAAGGGGAGTGAAAGACAAACAAAGGGAGTTCAGGGGATCGGAGAGACGCGCACAGACCAGGAAAAGGTCCTTCCTCTCCATCAGCCTCGGACATTCTGGTTTCTATGCCTGTATATGGGACCATACCAGTGGTCTTCATGTGGTCCTATGCGGCACCCAAGGCGCCACAGTGGGGAGCAGAGGGGTACAGAGGGGCTGTGCTCCACCCCACCCCCAGTCCCCTTTACACGATGACTTCCCAGGTAAAGCAACAACCACCAAACAAAACTTGGACAACGGCCACATAACATGACAGTAACCTGTGAAACGCAACGTGTTGCTCTCTCACTACCTGAGGAAGAGGAGAGAGGGGGGGAGAGATGCCACAGAGAAGAGCCCTCCATTACTATCGAACAGGCTCCCGCAGAGCCTCTTCTTCCATGAAGTTGTCCCGCTCACGCTGCAACACCACACGTTGACAATTAGATGCACGCTTTCCTCCAGAAGTTTCAGCTCACCGCCAAACCGGCCTTGCTGAGTTCCTTATTTTTGCACTGGACACCCAGGAAGCCCTCTGTAAATACTTAGGCCTTAACACCTTATGAAATGAAGTTTTAATTACTAGCCTCGCACTGACAACACTCCACAAATGAGTACCCACTGCTCCCAGCTCATGACCTACTCTTCCTTAGCAGGAGCCAGCCTCCAACTCACTGGCTCCCACATACTCCTGCCTCTGAACCTCGGCTCACAGCATCCACCTTTCTGGAGTGCCTTCCCTTCTCATGGTCCAGCCCAGTGGTCTCAACCTTGACTGCACATTATAGAATCACCTGGGATGCTTGTAGGACTCCCAATATCCAGGCACACCCCAGATCAATTAAATCTGACTCGGGGTGGAACCAGGCATTACTGTTTCCAATGTGCAGTCAAGGTTGAAAACCTCTGACCTCCCCCAAGCCCACCAACTCCTCAAGAACTATCAAAGGCCCTCCTCCTCCATGAAGCCTTCTCTGACTCAATTACTATGCCCTGTATCTGAAGAAATGGCACTCATTGCTACATTCCATGTCTCCCCACTCGGACTGTAAATTCCTCGTGAAGGCCACACCTCAACGCCATGGTCTCCATCACAGTGCCCTATGCACAGCTAATAATAAATAAAGGGTGACTGAAAGGGAGTATCCACAAGTAACTACTCAACTGGGTTCAGTAGCACCTCGTTTCATCTCCACTGCCCACCTCCTCATGCTAATGATCAGTGAAATACCCAGAACTCACACATCAACATGCATTAGGCTCCCTGCATGTATTTCCAAACTAATTAAAATAACTATAAAACACAGGATAATCTAAATTATTTCAGTAAACATGAAATTTTCCATAGATATCCATTTAAATTAACTCCATTCTTCATGGATAAAGAGCATGATCATAACACAAATGTTTTGCTGCAGAATGACTAGGGAACAAAATATGAGACTTCATGTCTTTTTCATGATGGGAAAAGAGAATAAATATCCTGTTTCAGCAGGTACTTCGTGATGACTCTGCTATAGGTTCTGAAATCTAACTCGAGGGAAAGCAACCATAGCAGTGGCAGTCGGACTCAATGCCAAAGAATCAGACATTTTCATGAGGGTAAAACACTGGTCGGGGCAGAGGGACCTGGACCAAACCCTAAATGGGATCTAAAAGCACTTACCAACATCGGCCAGGAGAAGCAAGAACAGATATCCAAGCAAGGTAGGGAAATAGGCTGATTTTTCTCCAGAGCTCCAGATGTCTTTATCGCTGCCTAATGACGACTACAGTCAACCAATTAAGACTCCATTATGACAGTTGCATTGTCAGGAAGCCTCTGGACCCCAACGTTGATGGCTCTCTAGTTAGTGCCTGATGTAAGAACACTCAAGAAAGACTGAAGCAGCAGCCTTTTCCAAACGAGGACATTCCAGCCCACGCCACAGGCCAGTAAAACTGTATGCCTTCTTGATCTTTTTATCACACTTGGAAAGGCTGAGTTTACCTCCAAATAAATAGGTCAGAGACCACAGCTGACTTTTTGTTGAAAGAATGGGACCAGAGCCTCTCTCAAGCTCAGCATGCCAGAGCAATGGCCAATTTAAAATGATTTATCACCAAAGAGATTTCATTAACTTCTAAGTCTCCAACAAGCAGACTACTGATTTGGAGAAAAAGACCAGGAGGAAAAGAGGGAAGATGTATATTAACCATTCTTCTCATATAAATGTCCAGCAGAGTGGAAGAGGTGGCGGCATGGTTCCATTTTGCTTCCAGGTGCCAGGGCTTCTCTGCTAAAAACAATTTTTTTCAAGGCTCTTCATAATAACTTGGGGGGTTGTTTTGACTTAAGAATGCTGGAAGTAAGGTTAAGTGACTTACCCAAGGTCATAAGAAACATTTTAGTGGCACAGCTGGGATCAAAATAGGTTCTCTGGCTTTTTTCGATCTGCTGCTTAACCAACGAGCCACTCTACCTCCTCAGATGACAATGTCTTTAAACAAATAGAGCTTTTAAGAACCATCCCCATTTAAGTGCAATATAAGGAATGTATTGTTTTCAATACTGCGGCTCAGGCTTGCAGGACACATCTCCTGACCCTACCTCATCAATTCTACCACTGTATCTCAATGGAAGGCAAGAAGCCAACACCACCACAAAAGCCCAGGGTGCTGGCGAGGAGAATAGCTGGGCAGATGTAATGGTGCCTCCCACACCTGCTTCACAGGTGATGTGAGAGGACACATGGAATGGATGGTGAAATGTCACCGTCTACAGGGCCATACTCATGCAGTCACCCCCAAACGAAGTCATGATTCTATTCTGATCAGGTACTCACAGCAGCCAAAAGGAGCCTTGTTATGAGACCTCAGACCAGGAACAACAAATGGTTTCATTTGTGTGTCAAGTCTGATAAATTGGTAGTGGCTGCCTACAACCCTGTGTTGAGAAGGATTCTGAAGCTGTATTCCATCCAGCTCACAAGATCAATAAATGCTGTTATGTGCTATCAATGCCCAGCATCGGTTTGAGAGTGAGGAGTGGCAGCATGTTATTTGCATCTCTGCCCCACACTAAACTCTACCTGGCCAACTCCTAATCATCCTTCCAGGCTCAGCGGAGAAGTCACTTCCTGGGAGAAACCCAGGCCGACTCTGAGCCTGGACAAGGTGCCTCTCCCAGCATGTCCTGGTGCCCTGCCCATCCCCTACTCTACCATCCCCCACACTGTCTGTAACTGCCTATAACTGTATCCCTCAGTCAGCCTGTGATCCTGGCCACAGCTGCA